AGATGACTGTCGGACAGAGCCGAGCCAGACCGTACAGGATAAATATTTTCTCACCGTTTAGCCAATACACTCTTGCTTAGAACAATGATCTGTTGCTTCATAACATCAAACTAAGATGTAAGGAGTGGTATATGAAGCCCTCAAACCTCAAAGTTCGCTAACTTTTTTGTATTTAGAGCGGCGCTTTTGATCGGATGAATTTCTCAGATCAGCGCCCGCGCTAAGCACTACCCACTTTTTGCTTGAGCCCTGAAAATTCCCCATCTGATCGTGCATTTCCTGGTCAACGGCAAAATTTGACAGAGGACGCTGGAAGGGAATGTTTCATATCTGAACACATTAAAACAAGCATCCGATATGATGAAATAAGTTCAATCATTACTATCTGTGCGTTTTTATACGGAGAAGACCACTCTAGACAGCACATCTGCTCTATTGGGTAAATGTGCTCCTCAATAGGCAATTGTTTGATTACATCATCGCAACTTGCACAGCATTGAATGAGTCAGTTGACGGTCATTGCATCTGTAAATCGTGCTTACGAACGCCGAATATGAACAACTCGGCAATTATATTTGTTTCGGCCTTGATTACCGCATGACCAATGAAATGCCGGGAAAATAATTACGTTATTATGGCTTGACGATCTTAAAATTGTCTGCACGAAATCGTTTCTACATCTTTTTTGCTGGCGTTTGGCTCAGAAACTAGAGGGGCTTAGATCTTAAGAGGGGCAGGCCTGTGAACTGCATAGAACGATCTCCAAGATGGCGATCGATCTCTAGATAGAATATATCTCTAGAAATGGAACGATCTCCAACGATCTCCTGTTCCAAATCCCATACAAATGTAGAGCCGGTTCTTTAACTTGCCGAAATGCCCTTCGCTGTTCGTTCAGCTTTCTGATGTCGCCTGACTTTTAATGCAACTGCTGCCACCGGCCCAAGACCATCCCAGTCAGGAAAAAATAGTGAGCACCTAAGGCGACTTGAGCCCATCCCGCCGTGGGTGGGTGGGCCGGATGTCAGGCGCTCGAGCTAAGCGAGCCATTGGATGGAGCGCTCTCCGTCACAAGGAATTTTCAAGCGCAGTAATGATGGGGCAAAGATCGGCGAACTGCCATGCTGGATGATTTGGTCTGACGTTTGTTTCACCGTACCGCTCGGTGCCGGTTTCTCAGCCTCCGGTTTCCGGAGATGCAGCGCCATACCGAGGAGAGCACGCGCTGCTCAGTGAAGTCGACCGAGTGACACCATTCTTCCCGAGCCGTGACCAGCCGAGCTGGGGCGCTGGACGGCCCAGCGTCGGTTTCCGGCGCCGTCACGTCGTGACGTCACGTGGCTGGTCACCAGGCACGAGACTCAGGCGTGCATCACGACACCCGGAACTGCAAAGTCACGCGCCTCATTTGGAGCTATAGGGAGGCGCAGCGTCCTCAGCGTCGGCTGTCCGCGCGTGACGTGTGGTGTGACGGATGTGCGACGGTTCGGGTTGTGTGGCTGTTGATAGTCTGCAGCTTGAAAGGTCCCCGTTTGACCTGGCCGGGCGAGGCGGTCGTGTTGCGCTCGACCCTTAACTAAATAGAGGCACGCAGCGACAGCCATTATTTCTTTAAGTACGCCATGAATGGTATACCCAGACATTCCGCGGATTACGGCTTTCAAAAGCTACCACGTATGCTGTGCCGCGTCTAAAGCTAGGCAAAAAAACCCGGAGACTTGAACTCTGTATACGCCTTCGGTAATCGCTCCCAACCTCCACCCCCCCCCCCCCCCATCCCCATTAACAGTTTGGCGGAGGCACCGTATTGAATCAGTTCAGGCTGCTCGCAACGGCTGCATACTCCATCTGCAGGATATTGGCGAATAATTTTGCACTGGCTTCTGTTTATAAAAATGGCCATCCCGTGCAAGAACAGGATTTTGCGCAACCAAGCAGTCGGTGCCAGGCCAGAGAGGAATGACAGGGCTCACGTAAACATCGGGGTACGGCTGGGCTCACTCGTCGGCAGCTGCTGACAGCGCTGTACTGTACACGTGGTGAGCAGAAGCTCTCTTTTAAGCGTCAGAGCAATGCTTTCAAATGTCGACTATTCCACACACAGGCCACGCGGTGCACTGATTCATAATGATAGTCAGCTGGTCTTGTATGACCTGATGGGTGGTAATTTGTTCCGCATGCCAGTAGAACCCGGATAACATGTACCCCTAGATGTTAGTGTAGTGGAACAGCTGTAGACACGAGCAGGTGTGCATACAATTCAGGCGTGCGCGTGTGTGTCTATGACGCACTTTATTAACTATTTATTTATTTCGTTGTTATTTCTTGACAGAAGTTGCGTTCGTCCCTCTGTAACATAACTTGCCACCAATCAATCAAGTGCGTAGGTGCAACGTAGGTTATCCACCATCATTTAGCCTGGGTGTCATGGGAGCTATGCCCTTCCTAATCCAAAACGTTTATACTACATACTGAACCATTGCGCAGAAAGTTGGTCCAAATTGGCGGGAAGTTGGAAAGCTCGACATCCTCGGAAGAAATTCTGGCCACGTGCCTGCCCGTGCGCTCTTATTACCACTATCTCAGAACACTCTCGGCGGGCAAGTCGCCAAGCCCTGGCAATCTCAGAGGTCCGGAGAAACCACCCATTACACTAGCGGGTAATAACTAAAAAGTTCTTGATGATACAGATGACACGTACACCATCGCTAAATTAACTACAAAAAGCCTCATGAAAACCCGGATTACATCCGAAAATCTTTAACAGCTGTTGTGAGCCGAATGCTAGAACAGGGGAGGGTGCAGGCCCCATAGCGTACCAAAAACATCTCGGCTGTCATTCAGTGCATCATAATGAAAGTACAATAACGGTCACCTAGATCTGTTATCGGTCCCATTTTAGGATTGATTAACGAGGGGCAACTCATTAGTGGATAAAATGACAGGAATTTACTACTTTCAAACGAATAGTTACATGAACGAACTAAAATCTTTAAACATACGCCTAAACAGCCTCTCCCTAAAAAGCATTTCTGCGACATTACTATCTCAGCGATTTTCTCGTTCCAATCACGCTTGTATGGGCTTCGACTTTACCTAACTCTTACCTAAGCCACATCTGAATAAGGCTTAATGACGTCCACTCGCTGCCACCACCTTTACGTGGTAAGCTTAAACGTGCCGGCCGAGGGTGCATCCAACATCCAATCTCGGAGGAGGCTTAGCTCCAACGATAACGCTAATTGTCTGAAAACCAAGTCTGAAAGCAGATCATGTCTGCCCGTTCACAGTCCAGAGGACATGACCCCAGCCAGCTGGCCGCCATTGGATTATTTCTTTTTTATTTGAGGACCTCTTTATTTTCTCAGGATGGGGCCCGTGCAATGGCTGGTGTGCTCGGAGTAATGTGCTCAAACGGCGAGAAAGTTAAACTAAAGTACATCCCGCGCGTGTTCACGGCAAAGAACGCAGTGTTTACCCAGAGCCTCGTCCTTGCTCTTGAAATATCGTCTTGAAATGTCTGTATGGGTTCTATGGACATTTTTAACTAAGACGGTTTCCAAACTACGGTTGCAAAACACAAATGCCCACAGTGCTAGAACAAAGTCCAATAACAAAGGCTAGAATTATGCATTAAATTAAAGTTTTTCATACTGCAGTTATGCTGCATGTATAGGGTTAACCAAGTGTGTTTCATTTTGTCTGTCAATGGCCGATTCAGGTCTACAGCTGCCCGCTAGGCGTATGCGCGCGAACCCTCTTCGTCCTGTTTTGTGGCACATCCGGGTCGATGGGGCCAATTGACCAGCGAACTTTGGCAATTAGCCCGGCCGTTAGATGGCCTTTAATCTCCCTCGTCAACTCCTTGCTTGATTATACCTCGCATGTTCTCCAAAAAACTTAGCTGAAGTATGCGGGGTTCTCATCATCCTGCCGATACGGTGCTCGTAGTTCATCGAGAAGGGCAGGGTGAGAGCTGCAACACGCGACGCTTGCGGGACGCCCAGAGTATTCTTCCTCCACGCGGCCTTTTCAACAATGATTGCGAATTATGGCTCCTCTTGTCACTTATCCTGCTACAGTACAGGCTCACTTGCCTGTTGGCATTGGTGTTTCTCTGCATTCATTCCAACTAAGATTATTGGTGGTGAGGTGGCCAGATACGCATTCACCCCCATCGGAAACATACGCAGTCACCCCCATCGGGAACATACGCAGTCACCCCCATCGGAAACATACGCAGTCACCCCCATCGGAAACATACGCAGTCACCCCCATCGGGAACATACGCATTCACCCCCATCGGGAACATACGCAGTCACCCCCATCGGGAACATACGCAGTCACCCCCATCGGAAACATACGCAGTCACCCCCATCGGGAACATACGCAGTCACCCCCATCGGAAACGTGCGTTGCAATCGTGACGCAATGTGAGTTATGAATTCCTCACTCGCATGGTGACGGTATCGCCATCCAATAGTCCAGAGGGTGCTGGCTAAATGACGTCATTAAGCAGACATATGTGATATTGTTAATGCTCGTTTGAAGCTATGCTCACGATCGCGACCTCCTGGTGAAGGCCGATGGCTGTCAGCACAAGAACTTTGAACTTACAGTGCCCGAAAACTAGGATCACAAGACTTTAATTGTTGTATCCAATGTAATATGAATTGGTGCGTTGTTGTTGCAGCGTATAATATATACAGGCATGTCAGACCCCACTTCAGTAAATAAGGCTCCATCGTTCATCACACTGTTTAGAGGGTTATTCAGCACTTAATGGCCCTTTGATAACCGGTGTTAACGTTGTATTATATGCCGTTTTATCTTTGGTCATCATGGATACTTTCCGTGTTGCTTTCGGTAACGTTGCTAGTTTACAAGAATTATGTACACGTTACTTTTACTGATATTGCCTTCTGGCCAGTTCTATTTTCACAACTCCAGGTTTAATGCACGCACTAACATTTATGACGCCGTTTTCACGATGTTTGGGCACTTCTCGGTGTGTTTATTGGTAGAGTGATGCCACGTTACTCCAAGTGCTTTAGCATGTCCCACACCGAACTTCTATAAACACCCAGGAACTCGAAGGCTGACAAAAAGCTATGTGATGCTTGGTGTGAATATTTCCCTGATGACCTCGCCAACTGCCGACTGGGCAAGTCAACCTTACTTTGACAAATTCGCGTCATGATTATTAGCAGATCCTCTAAAAATGCTTACCACAGACAACAGGAAACGGTTATAGATCACTGGCACAAACATGGCCGCACTCTGCCGCCTACCGACGCATCTGTGGCATCTGCCGTTACTTCCCTCTTTCAATACACAGCGCGACCAAGTAATCCAGTGGCCAAGCAGTGCCGAATCCCTCGGAACACTGGGTCACTCTCCCTCATAGCTGAGCTTGGGTCCGCGCCGCTCCCAAGCACCTTCACCCCTTCAGTCGCGACACCCGCGCACGGTTCACACGTGTGACGCTTCTGCGCCGCGCGCCTCGCGGCAGCCAGCGCGCCGTCTGACGCCAGTCCGCCCAAAGGTCCACCGCCGGGCCTCCGCGAACTTTGCCCGCCGTCGTCCAGATGCTGAGCCGGGCGCGCGGGCGGTCAGCGGTGCGCGCTCCGGCCGCCGGTTCGTGCCCAGTCCGAGACGAGTCTCGCGGTTTTCTGAGAGTTTCGGACTTCACGCTCGGCTGCGAGTTATTCTCCGTCCGTGATGAGTGCTTCGCCGAGCAGTGCCACGTTCGGTGGCAGTGCTCCCCTCCCCTCCCCCTACACACACGCGCGCGCCGATGAGCACTGAGTGAGCACTGGTAAGCACCGTAGCATGCCTGCGCTGCGCATCACTCATTCGTCAGTCAAAACGCGTCCAAGCCGCATTCAAGACACGTTTCTAGGCCATGGGGCTCTCTTCAGTTTCCAACCGATGGGAGCTGAACTGTTGGTGCGCCGCCTTCAGTGTCTGGTAGTGGGTGAGCACCACGGCGAACCAGTACCACGCGACGCCGTACAAGCCCAGCAGAAGAGTAGCGACGACGATGGTCCATTTCTCGCCGACGACGGCCGCGTCGATGAAATCAAGGACCTGAGCGAGAGAGCTCAGGCCGAGAATGATGCCGATGCCTATGAGCCAGGGTAGGATCAATCTGTGTCGTTCCTGGCGCACCCCGTACACCAGCGTGACGTGCAGAGCCAGCGACGCCAGCGACAGCACGAGACCAATACTGCTCACGATGCGCACAACGGTGACGACCTGCATCCGCTGCTCAGGATCAACAATGTCACGAAACGCGTCTTCGCCCAGTGACAGCACCACGATGAATCCTATCAGCTCTAAGGTGGTCAGCACAAGCAGGGTGATGGCGATGGCCAGAGACCCCTGGCGAAGGCCCAGGCAGCCGCAGCAGCGCGTTATTCGACAGGCCATCGTGGTTGAGCGGCTGTCCAGTGAGAGGAAGACTGCGCCTCGGCCTGATGCCGCGCCGCGCTACCCTCCGACGTGCGCTCCACGCTCGTACTGACGACCGGCCCGCCTCATACCACTTGTCGGCCGCTCCAGTATTTGTTTATGCAACGTGGCGATGGGGCCTGCGGTGGCATAGATCACTGAATTCCCAGTGGTAGTTGGTAGCAGCTCCATACTAGGGCTAGTTACATCAGCGTGCTTGGCTTTTCTCGAATACAGTTAACATGCCTCGCCTCATATGGTATGCGGTGAAAATATTTCAAGCATTTGAGCAGATGTGGTCACTGTCCATTGCTCGGTCACTCTGTTACGCAATGGAACTGCTTTTCAGCCTGGCTACAGCAAAAATGTGAAGGCCCCTATACACATTCACCGCGAGTACGCTAATCCGCTATTTACGCCGGGATAACGTCAATAGTGCGCCAGATTGATATTTTCACAAAGCTATCAAAATGCTCTTGAGACCCGAGGACATTGAAAGATCTAGCCGCACTCCAACGACATCGCTAAAATGAAGTGGATCGAGCAGATTTCTTTACTCTTACGGTCGCTACTTTTTTAAAATTCAGGCCGTCACTACGTTACTCCATTTCTCGGAGTTTTGTGCGTTGAATTTCCGGAAGCAATTGGTCATGACAAATTATCGGTAAAATATTACCAATTTGAAACGCGGGATTTTATTTCATCTTTGACGAATGAGCCAAAAAATTCGACAACCGAAATGTTTGAAGACTGACGAGTATCCCTGCACGAGGAAGGTAACTGCACGTGGCTGGCGGTCCTTTGCTCCGTGCGGGGTGCTCAGTAGGAAAAAAGACTATAAATTTGCTATATATATATATATATATATATATATATATATATATACTTTTTACAACCTAGAGCCGAGTGCTTGAAAAAAGCAAATGGGCGGATAACGGATTTCTGTAGCCTTTATCCAGTGTTAACCTCAGCATTTATTTTAAAACCTTCCATCGGCCCGATGGCTCGTCATGTTCCGTCAGCACTATAAAAAACCCAGAAGCAATGGCGCAGGAAAAAGACATCCACATACGCGCTCAAGCATACGTACACTGGACATACCCACCGACGCTCGTCATGTCATGGTAAGATTAGATGACGTCACAGCGGCTCCTGAACGCTTCCATGTACCTTTGTGCTGACCGTTTGGGAGATAATTCAGGCCTCTGATCGTGCGATATGCAGGTGGACGTTTTCCCAGTTCAGTTGGTGTTCTGGTTGAGTGCGGTCTGTGGTCCTGCTCCCTCGTGGGGCTTCTGTCGCTCAGTGAAGTTCTGCGCCAAGTCTCTCAGTTTCTCGCACTCCATGATCCCTTTCAAAGCGCATGATAATGAATCGGCATGTGTTGTGGGGGTCGCAGGAAAATGGTAAAATAGCTAGCCTTTCTGAAGTATTTTACAAATAGTATAAAAATGCTGGGCCACTTTGTACGAATGTATATTTCAAAAGATCATTGAATAGAACTCCACAGTTCAATGCTCATGGGTGCTAAACCAGCAGAGGTCGTAGCAAGCCAGGGAAAACGGGGTCTTGCAAGATATGAGTTTGACAGTGTGAGCTGGGCAAGATGGGCTGCGTTATGGCTCAGGGACGCTACTCGGAACTGTAGAGAAAACACAAAACATGTACACGCTGCTCAACGTTCACCAGCAGCTTTTCGACGACCGCATTCATTTACATGACGCGCATAGGTCTGGCTGGCGCCGGACCTAAAAACATTGGACTGCTAGATTACGGTGGGACCACAGAAATGAAGTGATTAAACCGACCCAGCCAATATTTCGCTGCGGCTCCGACGCGGGGTAATAGGTATCTACCGACGATACCGAGATACCGAGGGTGCGACGTGGCTCGTTGGTTGGACCGGGCAGCCGAGTTCGGGCTACATGCTTAGCGAACAACGACAGGGGTCGCCCCTCCCCTCCCGCGGCCCAGGCTGCCGAGAGAGAGAGGGGGAGGGAAGAGAGCACTATTTTCTGAAGGTGAAGGTATTCGCTATGGAACGGTAAAGGAAAACTATGATATGGTGCTCCGATACGCATAAAACTATTTTTGCCTCTCCAATCGCAGGACTGTCTCAGTTTCGTGCTCCCGCGGCAAAAGGGTGAGTGGCGAATGTTTGGTTTACATTTTTGGTGTTGAGACACTCATATTAAGCCGATCTAGGTGCGCCGTATTGAACCAGTCATTATATGTTGTAATATACCCTGTATCTCTGTACCTACCAAGATGATGTGCTGACAGACCTTGTCATCATCAGGTAGGGAAGTGGTGTCCTTTACCTTCCGGCCGACAATGTTTGCGGAGGGAGGAGCGTCCGCTTAGGTCTGTAATGAGGCCCGGCTAACCAGCTGACGAAACGTCGCTGCCAGGATGGGTAAATCATCCCAACGACAAGTTTTGTGCTGCTCATGACGTCACTGGTAGTAAGGTGAAAAATGGACCTTTTTTTACTTCTCACAAGATCACAAGGATGCACCAGCCGCTTATGATAAAAGCATTGAAAACCAAGCGTGTGTTCGCAATAACACATCTCCTGCATCCCACGGATGACGTCACTGGGACGAATGTATCGGTCATCCGTTGAAAACTTCCAGTGGGATACGTTTTTGTGCGCGCATCTACCTACGTACTCGTGGTTTACATTCTTATGCTATTTGAAAAATAAATGAATAAAAAAGCTGCGTTTTGCCTACTGCTCAAGACGTCACGTGGCTTGAGTTACGGTCTCGTTTCGTATCACTAGGGAACCTGATTATGGCGGAAAACCACCTTTCCCAGCAGGCTTCCTCAAGAAACTACTGCAAGGAGGTCCAAGTGATCCATGAACAAACCGCATTCAGGCATGTCCACATTGAGTTGCTAATGTGGCCGGAAAAACGCATGACCTGACTCAACGTTTTCGTCTACCAGCATTATCGGTCTTTAACAAACATTCCAAAATCGTGTCCATCGGTGCAACCACTGGTGGACACCATTTTGATACGATTTAGACGGCAATGGTTTCTCCTAGAATTGAAACGCGGGTTCCGTGAGTCTTATGGCACGCTCACCATTAGACACTCTGAGAATGTATGTAGTACATTAAAGTTATGGCAATGGATGGGAATAATCGACTGCAATATGACTATAAGCACCTTTGCTGAGACGTTCCTCCGTGTATGTTTCGGGTGCCAGCGCCAGACCTTGTATACATTTGCAGCCCAACTCTTCAATTTACCTTCCGGCCGTCTGCTCTGAACTCTCCAATTTCAACGCGTGGCGTTACTTTGCTGCGTTTGGAAACGACTGCAGGGTGTATGAAATTATTTCTGAACAAAATGCCTTGTATGTGAGTCCACTTCGAGTCAATAGTATGGCCGTTGATGGGCATAATCATGGTGTTTAGCTTTCGGTTGGCAGCCCTATACACCCATTTCAAACATGTAAATTCACTTTCAATCGATGCAACCGTCAACAACACCATTTTAAGAAAGCGTTTGATTTGGACAGACCATGCTGGCGGCCGATGCGTCAAGAGCTGTGTTTTAAGCCATATCACCGGCCCTATTGGTAACTCCTGTTCTATTGTGTGCTTGTTGGGATGAGTACCGTTTTTCCATGTGTCATATGCAATCGTTGGACTTAATTTTTCAGGTAAACATACATTTCATGGTAAACACATTTAGTCGTAGACGCACCGCGTTTCACGTTCGAAGGCGTGTGGGTATTGCGTAGGCCTTAGCGCACGCTCTGGCTATGTGCCCAATAGGCCGTGGTGCTGTCCGTGAGAAGCTAACCGGGGCTAAAATATTTCAGATGCCGTTTTTAAACAGCTTTGAATGATGTCCACCAGTCGTTACAGCGATGAAAACTACGTGGACACGTTTGAAATGAACAAATCATACTGGCGGCCGAAACGTAAAGAGTTCACTTTGCGCCTAGCATCGGCCTTACTGGTAACTCCGAGTGGGTACACCCGACTGACATTTTGTTCAGGAGGAATGGGTCCGCTATCTCCATATTGATAGCGAAATTGTATGCATAGTTTTAAAATGTTATTGCTATTAATATCATCTATTTAAACTATGCCGGCACGTTCGAAATGCCCAGACAATGGTAGCGGCCGAAGCGTAAAGAGTCCGCTTATGTCTATCAACGGTCACTATTGCTAACATCCATTCGACAGATTTCAATGCAAGTTTGTTCATGAATCATTTGGACATCCAGTGCTTTCTAAGTGTAGCAAAGTTATGTCGTGGAGTCAAAGTGGACATTTCATGGCAGTCGGTCGTAATGGAAATGAGTATTGGTTCAAAATGGTGATTTGGCGACGGCCGTTACCAGCCGGAAGTAGACTTTCTCATTCATTACCCAGCACTCACGTAGCGTTTCTTCTGTTTTGTAATGCGTGACGAACACGTTTTACTGTATATGCACATAACCGCATACAAGCCTTGCATCAGGTTCGCAGGCGGTTAGGTATTGCGTCGGCCTTAACGCACGCTGTGGCTTTGTGCCCAACAGGTCATGGTGGGCCCCGAGGAATAATCTATCGCGGCTACAATGCTTTCAGGGTCCTGACCATGTAACATGAATGTTCAGATGAACATACGTTCTATGGTACACTGTATAGGGAAAACAAGCGAGTTTCGGCTGGCAGGCTGTTAGGTATTACGTCGGATAACTGGGCACATGGCACGCTGCTCCTATTTGCCCAGTTAGCAGCGCTGGTCCCCGGCAATAACCCGCCAACAAAAATATATGAACTGCCATTTAGACAGTTTTGGAATAGTATCGGCTGGTGATTTCACTGATGGAAACTAAACTGACACGCTTGAAATGGGAAAATAATGCTGACGGCTGACTGGTAGCATCTGCTCATACCCATCACCGGCCACATTGTTAACTCTGCTTGTGTTGTGTGCTCGTTGGGATGTGTGCCTCGTTTCACCTTGGCATATGTAACCGTTGGACGTTATTTTTCACGTAAACATACCTATCATGGTAAATACATTTAGTCGTAGACACA